GTTTCAGTCAGGGGAGATGTTGGGGTCACCGTGGGGCCGTGCTCGTCACGGTTTCGGACGGAAAACCGATGTTTTGGATCCCACAGGTGTATAACTCGCTGGAAGAGTGGAAGAAGCCGCTCTTCGTGCCCCTGGGCGAAGACGGAGAGGCAGAGGCGGATGAATTCACCAAGAATAGTGTTAGGGTGCCTTTGATCAGAAAGCTTTGGATCATGAATTCATTATACATGTTGTCTAGGCCAGTTGCTCTTGGCGATCCGCCGATCTGGGCTGAAATCGGTTGTGTCAACGCTTCAGAGTTGTGGCAAAACGAAGTCACGAAGTCAGCATTGCAAAATGGATATCCACTTCAGGACATGCTTTTGGAAGTTTCTTCCCTGAAACAAGAATTGAGGCTCACTCTGTTGGTGCTGCCTTATGTCGTGGATCCTGAGACATGTTGCATGAAGCTTGGCTGCTAAAACGGGAGGCTTATGTTGCTTCCGGGTTATTGACCTGTGCGACATGCTGTTGAATGTAGTCTAGGCCAATGAAGTCTACTTGCTTGCATATATTCAACAGAGTGCAGCAGCACCACCATCGAATTCCTGACTTCTTTATTGTAAACCTCCCTCCCCCGGCAAAAGAGGAACGTTGCTAAGCTCAGTCTCTAGAGCTCAAAAGAAAGCAAGAAAATGTATGAAAGCCTAATATCCAAACATCCGTTAAACAGATACGTTGTATAACACCTTGTTCAGTATCATGTTGGAAGACTGGGAACGTGCACTACCAACATCATGGTTTTGAGAGGAGTAACGGTCCAAGCGAGTTGTTGTTGCATTTGTTCACCTGAGGTGGTCCCATGAGATCAATCAATGGAGATAGTCGAAGAGTTTGTTTCCATTTGATGGGGCACCCCGAACAACGGAGGTTGGACATGTTCCCTCCAAAGAGTATTTGTTGGGCTCCCTCTCTCTCCTGATCTCTCCTGTTTCTGTGCAACCCTACACTGGCATTGGGAGACGGTTCACCAAACCTTTTTGATCCAACCTTGCCATGACATCATTGCCGCAACCCTGGGCATTTGTACTCCCAGGAAGCTGAGTGCCGTCGTGGAGCGGGCCCTTTCATGCCCTCAGGTGCAGGCCCCTCTCTTCGAATCGACGACTCGCGCCTGTCTTCATTCGCTACCAGGAGCTTTCCCAAAACCGATCGGTCCAGTGAGGATCAAGAACCATTTGTTGCAGTGCAGGATGATACCAAATATGATAAATCATGTCTCTATATAATATTGACGTGTTTCATGACTCCGGTATCGGTTCAAAAGACTGCCAATATCTGGACGATGCTTTTTTAGAGCCAAAACCCAGGGCTCCCCTTGTGTTTGTACGATTTAGAGTGTATTGTTTGGATGGTTGGATCGCACTGGGCCTTGAAAAGATCAGCCAACTCATTCGAGGCAGTGCTGACAAACAATGTTGATGAACTGTTGGACGCCACTCCTGTGGTAGTATGGGGGCACATGTCAAAGCGTTCCGGGCTGCCAAAACAATCGATAGCTTTGCCGTTGTTGCATTACAGCTAGTAAGTTACAGAAACATAAGGCGTACTTGACTTGGCTATCAATGCAGCACCAGTATCAGTACAGGTGAGTTCCACCACATTTACGACGGAACCGCCCCAATCACTTCGGTCGGTTGGCCGAATTTCGCTGGGGCCCCGGCACCGCACGGCACTGGGATGATCTGCAGGTGACCTCCTTTTCATTCCTACTTCTGCTGTGTGCAGCGCCTTGGGAGCAGGAAAGGCGCCAGAGGCCCCATACGGTCCGATCGGCTTGGAAAGCCTGATTTTCCAGAGAGGAGGGCTTTTCCGTAGCTGTGTTTCGTATGTTCTGTTTTGGACACTGATTGGCATCAAGTCACAGCTCCAACGAATGTTGAAGTGGGATGTATTGCTGACACATGGTTTATTAATAAACTAAACGTTAAAGGGGTCGAAGAAAGGGAAGGCAGGCGGATAGTATTCCAATAGAACTAGCCGCCCCAAGAAGGATGGACCGAATATTATTGCATGGTTTTAGCAAAAATAGGCTAGCATCGGCTAGAAGTTTGTTTTTTAAAGCATGGGAGGAGCAAGGCGGACCAAACTTAATCATGTGAATACAGTCTTAAGGAACCCCGTTACATTTTGTTTCATATACACTCTGGTCCCCGCACGGCTCCTTCCGCCACTTCCTTCCGCACGGTTCCTGGGATTTGCGCGGTTTCACGGCACGGTTGGGAGTTGAGGACAAGATGTTTATGGACTCAGAGAAGTCAAGTGGTGCCAGACATCGCTTCGAGCAGCCTGGCACGTTGGCAAATGCGCTTCCTCATTTTGAGAGAGGGACGCTGTGAGCGTGCACGGTTTTTCTTGTTAGAACTCACCAACTATGTGACATATGTGATACAACAATATATATTCAATGAGGATGATTTGAATGAAACACAGAACATTCAATCTAGAAATTGGGATTTTCTAAAGCACATATTTCTATAGCAATCATTATATAACAATCCATTTTGATGAATATGACCCAACAAGAGCAGATTTTAATTTCATTGAAGCACCTAATTGAAACGAAAAAATCACGTACCCACATCAAAAACAAGGACAACATATGCTTAAAATATTGTGTTCAAACATTAGTGCATGATAAAGTTACTAAAGATCATTCCATAAACGGTGCTCCACTACAACAAGCTAAATGATACTATATTGGCCCACAGGAAACAGAGACATAGACCGCTTTGAAGAAAACGAAGGTTTAGCTCAGTACATGTCGTTGAACTTGATAATGAACTAAATGATGACAAGGTAATCAAGCACAGAACTACAAAGGTGAAGAATGCTGGAAATCATATTGATTTATTGAAGGCTTATGATGACAATAGCAAATGTCACTACGCAATCATCAAGGCTACTTAATTATCAAATGAACAATGATGACGACAAACTCAAACACAGTTGTAGGTACTGCACTCATCCACAAAAACCTAAGAGGATTTGCTGGATAAGAATTGTGAACATGGATGTTTGGCAGTAGAGGGACAACACAATACAAACTATCAAAGAAAGGTGAGTTTACTGAATTCACCAAACTCAACACGAAACTCTCATGTCTCTTTCTAGTATATCGAGACTTTTTTTGTGTTTAACAACTACATTTGTCAACGGTATTGAAAGAATATATCAAGACACAAACCATATGGGTTTATGCTGAATGTAGTGAATTCAATTGATCGTTTACATGCCAACCCTGTCGATACAGGGGTAAGGTTTTTACGGATAAGTTTGTGGAACAACTAACTGTAATCAAAGAAGGTATCATAGACAAAATGAAAACTAACCTAGAAATGGGCATTATCACGTGAAAAACAAATACATGGATTTCCAAAATGCAACTCGTTACTCAATCTGCAAAAAAAAAAGTTTCAGAAGGAGATGATAAAGTCGGAGACTATTGCCACTTCACGGATCAATACAGGGCGTGGCATAAATACTCAACCAATTGCTTCAAATGCTCCTGTTTCCTTTATCATACACTAGGCTTGGAGCAGATTACACAGATGTTGATACCCGGAGTATAGATCATGTTCACAAAGTTCAATTTGCTTTACGCCATTTGTCGTTTGCTGAGGCAAAATAATTTCCACGCAACTATTGGTGTATACATGTAAATACAATATCATGTGCTGCTCGCACATGTGTTTGCTTATAAGGGCAGCGCAGAGGTGCCTGAAACATCGTTGGGTAGCATGGCTATTCCCTTTGCATTTGCCGTTTGCTGTTTGGTTTTTGACCTATGCCTAAATCACAAAAAAGAACAAGTCTATGTCTCAGGACCTGCCCCTCTTACATAGACTTGTTTTTTGGGGGGTTTTGGTGATTAACGCATGGGCCCAAAAACCAGGGGAGTTGTTCGATCCGCCCAGTGACCGCGGATCGACTCCTCTTGGCGGATCGGGTGGGGACCGGAGGACCCGATCGCGGGTCGCGGGTCGGTCGGTTTGGTGGTTGACAGCCCTGGGCCCTGGGCCTTTCATGTAGAACATGAAGGACTCTGATATAGATCGATGTGTATTACAGTATCTGTTTATTGGGTTACTTCCAAAACATTGAAACACCTCTGCCGTTTATGAATCAAGAGTCTAGATGAGTGCCTCCCGGGCTCGTCACTTGGACTTCATCCCTGGCCCCCGAGCAAACTCGTCGAATTGCCCTGGGATCTGACCACTGTGACAGATCCACGGCATTGGGACAGATCCAAACCTTTGGACATTTGGACAAAGGGGTTTTGGATGAGCCATGCTTGGGATTTGTCTTTGGAAAAGGTTTTTGGACTCGGACCTGAGGTGTTTTTCAAGAATCCTCAAGAGACTGTAGCAAGGAAGCTCCATGCTTTGTTGTCCGGGTTTGGAGAGAGTCTGGTTCAGTGCCCTTGGTTGGTGTGGTGTGCACATCGATTAGGGTCCTCCAGCACCACGACATCCATACAGCACCCATATTGTGGAGCTCCAAACACAGCACCCCTTGCTTTTTTCAAGGTCCAGGTAGACACCTGCTTGACCTCAGGACTTGCATGGAACACTTCTTGGACGCCTACAAAGAGCATGCTTTGGCTTCTGTAGACTGGTCACAATTTGCTTCAAACGCTGTGTGAGTGCGTTGATGGGAGGGAACACCAGCACTTGGAGTTGGAGTCACCAAAAGAGGTTTCTTGTGTTTTGCTTTTTGCTCCATTATATTGTTCTATTTTTTAAAATAGTCGTTTCTTCTTCCTTTTTGCCCTGAGGCCACTGGAGTCAACATCGATCATAAGTCTTGGCTTGGTGTCGTTTTGGGGAAGATGCTGCGGCGTGCTGCGTCCTTGCCCCCTTGTGTTCGTTTAGGTTGTCTTGTTCTTTGGACTGGTGGAAAACCCCCCCTCCTAGGCCTTTACCGAGCCCGCACGTTTCTATTGGGCACAGACGGCCGGACGCCCGGAGTGCCCCTCTTGGCTGGAGGAGAATGCGACCTGCGCAGCATGAAGTCGTGGGGACCGTCGTGAAAACGACCAGGGGGGCACCAGGAAGGAAAAGGGTGGGAGATCACGGAGTCGCAGGCATCAGACTGCCCTCACTGGGAGATCTCACTGAGTCTTGAGTCTTGAGATCAATCATCATAAATCCTATTCACATATGGAGAGGTGTTGTATGTTTATACACTTTCGCGGTATGATTCATAAACCTACAATCCCTAGAAGGTCAGAAGGTCTGGGACCCGACATATACTTAAGGTGCAGAAAGGCTTACTATGTTGGGGGTCCCTCATGAGGAGAGATCTCCAAAACTAAATCTCTTGATGAGGGGAGTGGCCAAAGAATAAATCTATTCATGAAGGGAGATCACAAAGACCCAAAAGCTAAATTCCGTTGGGTCTTGAAAAGAAGCTATGAGTCCTGGTGGGAATGGAAGCTATGAGCCATGCGTGGTACCACATAATGGCATCTTTGATTAAGAAGACCCGGAAGGATTTGCATGAGCACGAGGAGCAAAGGAGGAAGCAAATGGCGCATGATTAGCCAAATGTGTCAATTTCGGATGAGAATTCGAAGGAAGCATAAAGACATGAGGTTGAAGGAAGGCGGAAGCCTGGAAAGAGAATGGGTTGATGAGGAGGCTGGAGATATGGAAGAAGATGATCTGGTTGAGAAGCAGGCTGCCCGCATGGACATGTTCAGATTCATGGCAGTTGCTGCCAATGAGGAGTTCAGATTCATTGCATTTGCTGCACCTATCCACCTATTTCGCCAATGTCCTGTCCAATGAGTCTCACTGTGTTGGCAAACTACCAAAGGCAAGAGGGGCGATTTGTCTTGCATAATCTCGCATGTATTTTTGCACGAAGAACATGGACATCACTAGTTGGGGTGGTTTGGGGGTACCACTTTTGGAAAGTGGGCCAGAAATACTAACAGGCCAATCAATTCTTTACATTCATGTTATTAGTTTAATGTGTGTATATTATATATGCACGTGTACGCCTTTTTTGGTGATGGGATGGTGGCAGGCTTTGTGTCACGACTGTCAATGGGGACACATGCTGTCACAGCCAAAGCTGTCGAGCACGCAGTTGGGGAAGAGGGTTCCACCTGTGGAGCAAGGCCGTCGGTGCACCGCTCAGTTGCTCAGTCAACAGGGTGCCTCACCGGCGTGACGCGAGGTCGAAGCTCATGCATTGAATTGGTATGTGGCCATGCTGGGGAGAGCTCTGGCAGCATCAGCTCCAGCCACTTGGGGGGGGGGTGAGGATGGGTGGTCAGCCACAGCGGCGGCCTTGGTGTTTGGCCCCTTGGAGTCGCACCCAAAATATCAGGTGATTGACTGCTTGAAAGAGTTTTACCGTATCCAGGCACGAACTATGACTACAAGTTTCTCATCATTGGGTTGGTGAAGGAAACTAACCAGTCTTTGATCCATTGGCGGGTTCTTTTGTTGCTTCAACAGGCAAGCCGTTTTGAGTAGGTGGGTCAGCTGCTATCTGAGGCACACTCTCAGTGCAAGTTCCGCACCTACCCGTCTTCTGGGCCACTTGGTGAGGATTCTTCTTGCTGGGTTGGAGCATGCAGCACTAATTTGTTGGAGTCAGGCGCGGCCAAGCGCTGGTTGCGTGGGTTTGAACCATCAATCAAAACATTGGACTGGAGGTAACAGCAGGGCGAGTTGCTTGAGAGCACCATCAGGTCATCCCACATTGAAAACATCGCCAGTTCAAATTGAGTCAATTCTAGCGTCGTTTTGGCTTCTAATTTCCCCTTTTGGGATAGCGCAACCAGGTTCTGAAGAGTCCTCCTGGCTCTCGACGGGCAGGCTGCCACTGAAAATAACCTTGGTGCGCATAGAATCTGGAACAAGCACCAGTCAATGTGTGTCCTTGAGGTGGTCTCTACGAAAGTACCGGTCTTCCTCCTCGGGTCTCCACAAATCTACCGGATAGTGACCAGCCTCACAAACCCCTGATGGCCAGCTACATCCCCGACTCCATGAGCTCCTTCGCCTTGAGCGAAACACGTCTTTTCGCCCAGGACCGCTTCGCACCACCGGTGGTGGACTTTTGGGAAGGCCTCGCAGAGGACAAAGAGGGGTTTGACCACATGATGCAGCAGCACAAGCAGATGAAGTGAATTAAACATCCATGGGGTGGGGGGATCCCTTCAATTTGAAACAGACCCATCTCCTACCCTTTCTAGTTGATCTGTGTCCTGTCAAGAGATGTGTCCAGATAGACAATTTACTGAAAGTGTTCCTGTGTGGGGAGTTGCGCAGCTAGACTCTGCAGAGACCCATCTCCCATAAATCAACTGATACTTCGACTTCCCAAGAGTTTGGAGAAAGAAAGGAATTCCACACCCGTTTGGATATCCAGGAGGCCTGGCAGATTTTTAGCAATCCTGCGAACTTCGGCCACAAATGGCGACTGGGCAAGTCTATTCTTCTTCACCACTTCGGCGTTGACCGGGAGAGTTGTTGGCATTCTGTGAAGCCAACCAACAGGGCCGGGCTATCTCGTCAGGAAACTCAGATTGACTGTGTTGGTATGTTTTGGCCAATTGAAGCAAAATGTAGATAAAGTCTCCATCGCTAGTAGGTAGAGTGGTCTTGGGTTTCAGACGGGTTGGCGAGTGATGTCTGGCGGTATGTGGCCCAATCTCCCCAGTTCCCCCAGTACGTACTTGTTCAATTCCTTTCTTAAGATCCGAATCATCCGCAGAATCCACCGTTGCAGAGAATATGATCATTCGGTATACGGCAGCCTTTTGGATAGTTGCTTTTGAGCGACCCCCCGCTGTGTTTTCGCACATTCATTCGTCCGAGCCAGGCAAAACATCCGATGCATGCGAGAGGAGCCTGCCAGACTTGTGTCCAACGGGAAGCTGTTGGGTGGACACTTCCCCTGCCAGACTTCCAGATCCTTAGCGAAAGCTGGGTGAGGACTTTGCCACAGTTGAGTCTATCATGGGATGCCACGGATGCCATGAAAAGAACGGACTTTCTCGGTCCGCACCTGTCCAAGAACATCCGAACACCCAGTCAGGATCAACTCGTGTTCACTGCTCGTGTGCCTGCGCGTGTCCTAAGGAGGCCCTAAACTTTACGAGTTGGGCGGAGCCATGGATGCGGAGCTGGCACACGGGGCTGCTCACTTTGCAAATGAGGCCATGACGGGCGAGGTGGTTTGGGGGACACTGAGTTGGTTGTTGGGGTGAAGTAGCCACTTGGGGTTTTCCCTTTGAAGTATAGTTGGAACTTCTACCAAGACGTGGCTAACTGGTAGAATAGAATTCTTAGCTGCGGTATGAAACCCTGCCAGTATGGAGATGGTCGAGTTGTCGCGTATTTTTGTGAGGGGAACGAAGCATCAATGGGTGGAACAAGATTTCTGGGGCCTTTCCGTCGCCCTTCGCCGGTGGCCGATCCGCTGAACCCAGGCGGTGAATCCCAAGGCTCCCGTGCTCAAGCGCCAGTTGCTCAGCAGGTGTGACCGCCGAGTGGAAGATGTGTTGACGGGGTTGAGATGGGTAGACTGCTACTTGAGGTGGTTATTAATACAGTATCCCTAACAGTCCAAATGACTCATTTTACCCCATGGTAGTGGTGGATTATGACTACCGGGTGGAGTAAAATGAGTCATTGCATGGAAGTCCTGGGTTGCATATAATTGCTCCTGAGAGGTTGGGGGGGTGTCCATTGACCACCCCCGTTTACTACGGGGGCTCCGGCACGGATCGCTTGGCTCCGTCAACGGCCGGAACGTCCCGGTGTCAAAAGCGTGGCGATGCCGGTCGGTCGACGGTCAGATCACCCGGTCAGATCGCGAGCTCAAGGGGTTGGAGAGGTGAGCTTGCTGGACCTTCCTGAGATTTGGGTCACCAAGAGGTTCGACGTAGGACCTAGAATAACATACATATTTAGTCCAGGTAGCTAAAATTGCAGGAGTCATTGGTTGATGAGAGAATCTACAAGGTTTCCCGCAGATGTTCCCTTTTCACCAATCCATTGATCTTGGACCTTGACAGGAAGGTAAATCTGATCAGATTTGCATGTGTTTGTGGCGGCTCGTGGCGGATCTCAGCTCACTCGCTATCCCACATCCCGCGCGCACAACACCAACCCTCTCGTTGTCCACCATGGGCTGTGGAGCTTCCACACCGACGGCTGACACCTCGAAGGCCGTTCGGACGGGTGAGGAAACTGACGAAGAGGGCTGAAGACTCCAGGGCTGAGTTGTGCGCAAGTACCCAAACTTCTCGCATTTCCTGGGGTCACGGTCACTCCCTGACCTTTGATAATTTGGAACTTCAGCTTTTGCAAGCCCAAAGGAACTTGATGTTGCGGGAATCCTGGAAGAGGTTCAACAGTTGGACTTGCTGCCATTTAGATTTGTTGTTGTCACCGGGGCGTTTGCAAGCGTGGCATTCCAAGGCCGTGCCAGACAGTGCTTTTCCACGGTTTTGTCGTTATCACTGATTTTGTATGATTTTGTTATTGGTGTGTCCAGATGCTAAGTGACGGCCGTACGTACAGCAGCGAAGGTATTTTTTAGATGTTCTTAGAACCCACTGTGGTGGGAACACTTTGAAAACCAA